CCGTTGCGGCCGAGAAGGGTGATAAGGGTTCCCCTGGCGCGCCAGGTGCCAAGGGCGTGAAAGGATTTAGTGGAGCAGACGGCTTTCCTGGTAACGATGGACCCAAAGGAGAATTCGGTTTTAAGGGCGAGAAGGGTCTGAGCGGAGCTCCCGGCAACGACGGAATACCCGGACGCGCTGGACGAGACGGTTACCCCGGAATTCCCGGCCAAGCCATCAAGGGCGAACCAGGCTTCAATGGAAGGGACGGAGAAAAGGGCGACAAGGGATCATTTGGCAGAAGCGGCGAGAAGGGAGAGCCCGGCAGCTGTGAGATTGCCGAGCTAAAGGCGATCGAAAAGGGTAACAAGGGTGAGCCCGGCCAAACCGGCATGCCAGGAAGTCCTGGAAGAGACGGCAGCCCGGGAGAGAGGGGCTTGCCCGGAATGAAGGGCAACACTGGACCACAGGGACCTCCTGGCATTGAGGGGCCCCGCGGCTTGAATGGGCCTCGCGGTGAAAAGGGCAACCAGGGAGCGGTCGGAGTTCCTGGTAATCCTGGCAAGGACGGCCTTCGCGGCATTAATGGACGCAATGGACAGCCTGGACCGAGGGGAGAGCCTGGTATTTCGAGACCCGGCCCAATGGGTCCACCCGGTCTAAATGGTCTGCAAGGAGAGAAAGGCGAACGCGGTCCAACCGGAGCCATTGGTCTTCCCGGAGCCGATGGCGCTGTGGGATATCCTGGAGAAAGAGGCGATGCTGGTCTGCCCGGAATCGCTGGACGACCTGGAAATGTTGGACAGAAGGGCGACATGGGCCCGGTCGGCCCCCCTGGTGTTTCCGGACCTCCTGGTGTTCCTGGTATTGAGGGTTTGCGTGGACTTAATGGCGTCAAGGGTGAACCTGGAAGTCCCGGACTGGTCGGCATGCCCGGCAACAAAGGTGACCGTGGCGCTCCTGGAAATGACGGACCCAAGGGCTTTGCTGGCGTTACTGGTGCGCCCGGAAAGCGCGGACCAGCTGGTTTAACTGGAGCTTCCGGTATGTTGTACCAACATTCTATTAGAACATTTTATGTGACTCATTAGGATTATTTCTGTTCAGGTGCCAAGGGTGAAAAGGGAGCTGCTGGCTTGAATGGCAACGATGGACCTATGGGTGGCCGCGGTGCTCCCGGTGCTCCTGGTTTGATGGGCATTAAGGGCGACCAAGGATTGGCAGGTGCCCCTGGACAACCAGGACTGGACGGTTTGCCTGGCGAAAAGGGTAACCAGGGATTCCCCGGTTTGGATGGAGCTCCTGGTTTGCCTGGTGACGCCTCCGAGAAGGGACAAAAGGGTGAGCCCGGACTATCTGGACTCCGTGGCGATACAGGTCCGGCTGGACAGCCCGGTTGGCCAGGCGAGAAGGGTATGCCCGGTCTAGCTGTTCACGGACGTGCTGGTCCGCAGGGCGAAAAGGGAGACCAGGGACGCAGTGGAATCGATGGACGCGATGGACTCAACGGCGAGAAGGGTGATCAAGGTCTGCAGGGCGTTTGGGGACAGACCGGCGAGAAGGGATCTGTGGGAGCACCCGGTATTCCTGGTTCTCCCGGAATGGATGGCTTGCCCGGCGACGCTGGTGCCCCTGGTGCTGTCGGCTATCCTGGCGATCGCGGTGACAAGGGAGAGCGTGGTCTAACTGGTCTGCCCGGACTTAAGGGTGAGACTGGTCCCATTGGACTGTCGGGCTTCGCGGGTGCTCCTGGTCCCAAGGGTGAGCGCGGTATTCGTGGTCAGCCCGGTCCTCCGACCATCATCAACGTGGAAGACCTCCGTGGTGAAAAGGGTTCCCAAGGCGAGCGCGGCTACACCGGCGAAAAGGGTGATCAAGGCAAACGAGGCGAGACTGGTCAGCCTGGCTACAAAGGAGCAAAGGGAGATCCCGGATTGCATGGTCCACCTGGTGCAAGCGGATTAAATGGTATTCCTGGCGACAAGGGAGACACTGGTCCAAGCGGCGAGCCCGGTTATCCTGGAGTTACCATTAAGGGCGAGAAGGGTCTACCCGGTCGAACAGGTAGAAACGGACGTCAAGGTTAGTTTTTGTTCGCATATTTTCTTCTACACAGTTCGGTCGCTCACTCATGTAACTAATCATCATTCGTTCACTTATTCAGGTCTTGTTGGAGCCCCCGGTTTAATTGGAGAACGTGGTCTGCCAGGCTTGCCTGGAGAGCCTGGCCTCGTCGGTCTACCTGGACCCATTGGACCAGCTGGCAGCAAGGGAGAGCGTGGTCTGGCCGGCAGCCCCGGAAACCCAGGACAGGATGGCTTTCCTGGCGCAGCCGGATTGAAGGGAGATACGGGACCGCAAGGCTTTAAGGGAGAACGTGGTCTAAATGGCTTCGAGGGACAAAAGGGAGACAAGGGTGACCGAGGACTCCAAGGACCGCCTGGACTGCCCGGCTTGGTCGGACAGAAGGGTGACATTGGCTACACTGGCTTGAATGGAAACGATGGACCTGTCGGCGCTCCAGGCGAGCGTGGCCTCACCGGACCCAAGGGACGCGATGGACGTGACGGAACACCAGGTCTGCCTGGACAAAAGGGTGAACCGGGAATGCTGCCACCGCCAGGACCCAAGGGCGAACCTGGTCAGCCTGGACGTAATGGACCAAAGGGAGAACCCGGACGTCCAGGAGAGCGTGGCTTGATTGGCATCCAGGGTGAGCGTGGCGAGAAGGGTGAGCGCGGCCTGATCGGTGAGACTGGCAACGTGGGCCGAATCGGACCGAAGGGAGAACGCGGAGAGCAGGGCGAGAGGGGTTACGAGGGCGCCATTGGGTTGGTCGGCCAGAAGGGTGAGCCCGGTGCTTCTGCCGGCGCCGCTTTTGACTACCTCACCGGCATCCTGATTACGCGACACAGTCAATCGGAATCGGTGCCGACGTGTTTGCCTGGACAAACGGAACTCTGGACTGGCTACTCCCTGTTGTTCGTCGATGGCAATGACTATGCCCACAACCAGGATCTCGGATCTCCCGGATCCTGTGTGCCACGATTCTCAACGCTGCCCGTTCTATCTTGTGGTCAGAACAACATCTGCAACTACGCTTCGAGGAATGACAAGACCTTCTGGTTGACAACCAACGCTGCCATTCCAATGATGCCCGTCGAAAAGAACGAGATCCGTCAGTTCATCTCACGTTGCGTCGTCTGTGAGGTGCCGGCTAATGTGATCGCCGTGCACAGTCAAACGATAGAGGTACCCGAATGTCCGAATGGCTGGGAGAGTCTCTGGATCGGCTACAGTTTCCTCATGGTGAGTATCAATACTCTTGTAACTCTAGATTATGGATGAATATTGACTTTTCTAAGCACAAACTTTTCTAAGTTGGCAAACTTAGTGCTATAATTTTCTAGCAGATGGCGCACGCAGATGATACACGTGCGCCATCTGCTGGATACAGCTCAGTACTCGGAACTTGACAACAGATTTAAGCCTTAATTTCTAGATAATTCTAATAACAAATAACTGTATGGTTTTAGAAGTTCATTGCATTTGGGTAATCAGGAAACATACTTGCATGTACATGTTTGTATTATATTATACTGATAATTAACCAAACAATTTTTAACAATAGCACACTGCCGTGGGCAACGGTGGCGGTGGACAGGCGCTGCAATCGACTGGCTCCTGCTTGGAGGACTTCCGCGCTACGCCCTTCATCGAGTGCAACGGCGCCAAGGGCACGTGCCACTTCTACGATACGATGACCAGCTTCTGGATGTTCAACCTGGACAGCGCACCGCCGTTCGAGAGGCCCCAGCAGCAGACGATGAAGGCCGGCGATCGGCAGCGCAATGTGTCCAGGTGCCAGGTGTGCATGAAGAACTCCTCGTAGGACCTCCAACCCCTCACAGACACCCACAGCACACAGCATAAGTTTAATATAAATGTAAAGCCTTAAAATTACCAACGAATCGTGTGCACACCCACACGATCACAACACAACTCAAAACAAACACACACACACACACACCGACGAACCAACACTGCTACAAATTCCTTAATCTAACCAAAAAGAAAAACGGATCCACAAGTCGAAGTGCTAATTACCGACCGACCTGGACCACAATGCCATTTTTTATCTGCCAATTAATGTTCTAAACAAATGTAAACTGCTTATAAGTTACGCTACGTAAGTTAAGTAAATCAAACAAATAAATAAACTAGCCTCGGTCGTATGTCCAAAAGTATAAAATAAACTATATGCCAGCATGTTCCATTTATTTTTGAAACCGATTAAATGCGACTCAATGCACCTAAATGAGATATACAACGAATATTAAACGAATCCAATCCTCAACTGCTATACAAATCTTGTCGCATATCGTTTACATTGATAAAACAAACCAAAATTGGAAAAATAAAGAAAATGTATCAATAAAAAAAATTCCCATATAGACGTTTGATGGTGGTGATCCCTATAACAACAAACATATTATAAGAAACGCAAGAAGTTCTTTGCTTTAAGGACATTGTTCTGAGATATATTAATAGGGATACAAATCGTAAGCCCTTCAATGACGTGCTTGTCCTGTACATGGATCCATATGCAAGACAAAGATTGGAAATTTTTTACCCCTAACTTGGCATGATAAGATCTTCCTCGAAAACCCAGGGTTCAGGGTAGCTATTGTGCTGGAAACCCCGCCGTGGAGAGCCACGAAAAAGCAATGCCAAGACGAGGATGACGAGGATGACGAGAGCGAACTCACCTCATGCACTTGTGCGCATGCCTTTGCCTCTCTCCGAGCGGATTTGCAGTGGGGGTTGGGCTACCAAGGGGGTGGCGATTGGGGTCGCTGTGCGGGGCATGAAGTGGGGTGGACCGGGCCTTATGATAATGATATGCAGACAGGCACACATACGCACATAGTCCAATTGGTGGTTGGAAGCAGGTCGTGGAAAATAAGGGTAGGCCTTTGTGGCTTCTAGTTGGAATCGGAAAAGTGAGTTGGAAACAAAAGTGCCAGAAGCCAGTGAGACTTGGACGCATGCGGAGGCGGTCGTCGGTGGGAGTTGTAACTTCAGCCAGATAAGAGGAGCTGCTTTTTGTAGGTGGAGGCAAGCAGCAAGTAGGAAAAAATGTGTGTACCCCGTATAAAACAGTGGAAATAGCCTGTTTGCGTTTGGAAAATTACGTGAAATTTGCGTAAACCAAGACCACAAAGCCACCGGAAGTGCTCCAGCAAAATCCGAAACTCTCAAGAAGCAGCAGCGCCAGCGGCAGCACTCCTCCGCCACCAAGAAAAAAGAGAAGAACACACCACCCCTATTTATGATTATCGTTCTGCTGCTGCTGTTCCAATCGCTGTGCCTCTACTGCCAACGCCTGGTGCTCTACGTCCACGACCGATGTTTCCCAAAGAACGTGCGCCTGCTGCAGGAGGTGGCCGAAACGGTGGGCGATCGTAAGGCGCCACAGCGCCTGGCGGAGCAGCAGTTGGAGCAACAGAAGCGCAGCCAGAAGCGGCGCATCCTCGAACCAATCCTTCCGCTCGTGGGTGGCCTCAATTCCGAGGCCTGTCGCTTTTGTGCTCACAGTCCGCAGGGCTACTGTCGCCACCACTTCCATCTGCAGGAGCTGCAGCTGCACAAGCAGAGGGGCTCCGGTCGGGAGCAGGATTTCCGACAGATCCGCCGAATCAAGCGGGAGCTAAAGCGTAGCCTTGGCCAGCAGCAGCAGCAACTTCAGCCGGCGAGGAGCTACCGTCCAGTCCGACTAAGTTCCAGCTGGAGCAGCAGTTCCCTGAGCAGTGGTTACGCTTCACTGACCAGCGTTGGATCTCAGGAGCAGGAGGAGGCGTCATTGGATCAGGAGATTATAGAGGATATTCCACTGGAGGAGGATGTGGAGCAGCAGGACCTGCCAAAGGAGGAAATCCCACAGCCCCTATTAACCACTTCCTTATAGATAAACGCCTCTGGGTCTTTTCCTTTGAAGGAGGACCATCTACTTGGAGTTCATCTCGGACTAAAGGCCCCTTCATAGAAATTCCACACACACGAAACTACACCATAAGGATGTATTGAGAAACAGGTATAACATAGTTAACCACTAGAGAAACCAAGGGACGAACATCTACGAGCTAAAGACGCCACCCCTGAACAATTCCAACAACTTGTGAGCCCTGGAGCAGCACATCAACCCCAGCAAGCCAACCCCGTTGAAAACGTAACCCCCCAAACGGCTTGAAGGGTTCCCATTGTTAAATTGATTCAAATTGAGAAGCGAAAAAATTTCTAGTCGCAACACAATGTCTGATGTGGAAGTGGATCCACAGCAGGCTTACCCCCATCCAATGGTGGCCATTGCCCCGAGGAGACGTCGTCCTGGCGGCCGACGAGGAGTAGGAGGAGGGGGTTTGCAACCCGGATCACTGGATGCTGTTTCTTCCTCGTCGCCGCCACCACGTTTCTGCCCGCTGGCCGAGGGCGTCGAAGACAACTGGACGTGGAGCAAGCGGCACCGCTCCAAGGAAGTGGTGCTCAGAGGACCCAACTCGCGGACCGTGCACTTCCATCCCAACTGGAGCAAGGGCACTGCCGGTGTCCAGGGCAAAAGATCCCTAAACAACGGACGGTATTACTGGGAACTTCATGTCTCCCAGCGGGTCTTTGGCACCTCGATAATGTTCGGTATCGGTACCAAGGCTGCTCGGCTCCATGCCAACGCCTTCCGGAACATGCTGGGCGAGAACGAGCACGGCTGGGGTCTCTCCCACAAGGGCGTACTCTGGCACAACGGCGTAGCTCTGCTGTACACGAAGCGGTTCCGTGAAAATCAGCCCACTCAGATTGGAGTGCTCTTCGACGGCATCGAGGGCACACTAACCTTCTACAAGGACGGCAAGTGCCTGGGCGTCGCTTTCCGTGGATTGGACCAGGTGAGTTGGTTGAATAATGCAAGTATGCAAGGAACAGGTTTAAGAATTTTGCCCAATTCACTCCAGATTGATGAGCCCCTGTACCCCATCGTATGCTCTACTGCCGCGAAAACGGAGATGACCCTAAAATGCACCAAGAGGGAGTTCGTCAACCTACAGGATCGCTGCCGGGCGGTAATCATGCGGCGGGTGCGGAGCGCATCGCAGCTGGAGAAGCTGAAGCTACCGCTGCCCATCAGTGAATATCTGAGAGAGGTGATCGATGAGAAGGAGCCACTGCGTCAGGTAGACAACTACGATATACTGTGTGATTTGTAGAGCGCGGTTCATCCGGTCACCGTAAGCTAAGTTTATAGAGTACGTCCTCGCCCCCAGGTTAATCAGCTGGAGATGTGCATTATGAATTACGATTTGTATGAGGCCCGTGAATGAATTTAGTGCCATCACATATTGGAGTGCACTGCGCCTCCCAGACGATGCAGTGGCTCCTCTGGGACATGTGCATTTTCCGTAGTAGTTTTAGAGCGCTAAGGTTAAGCATCTGGAATTATCAAGTGTGGATTGTCCGACATTTTGATTTGCCTTCATTTGTAGCGAAAATGTGGGGAAATAGGCCAATTTGGTGCAATATTTGTGATATAAGAAATGAGAGTATATGGAAACGTTTTTCTGGGCTTCAAGTGCTTGCTAGAAAACCGCAAAATAAGCTAAAGCTAAGCATATTTTTCGGTACAGACGAGTGTGAAATCTAGTCAAAAAGAACACGCTGCTAAACTAATTTTGTAAATTCGCCGACAGCAATTAAAGCTTAAGGGAATGTAATGTAACAAAATGGGAATGTCTCTAGTCATAAATTGCAAATAAAGCAAGTGTAATTTAGTAAAAATTATTTATAATAGTTTAAGTAGATTTTTTGTTTGTGTTTATATAAATTACAACACATAATGTAATGGTACATGACAAAACAGACGAATAGTATGAACATGAAATTCGTAAGGAGCGCTCAAAACAATTTGGCGATATTAATTTGCAATTGTCACTTGAATTTACATAAATAAACATAAATTTACTAACTATTTAAACGAAATAAAATACTAAGCACAGGTTCACTATAGCATGATGGGGCTTTGAATGGCATCTACAGCTCGTCGGAAAGATGGTTTATGTTTTGTAAGTGGTCCCCGTAGTCGGTGGCCTCGCTGCCCACAAAGGTGTCGTAGTTGTTGAGTATTTCCAGGTAGGACAGCCGATCGTCGTGATCCTCATCGGTGGAGACAAAAAGGTGGTCCACCTCGTCGTTGGCAATTGCCGTATTACTTGGCACAATCCAGGATAAGACCTCATCGCCCGTCAGCACGCCATCGCCATTGGAGTCGTGATCCTTGTCGAACCGCTCCTTCTCCGTGATCAGCCACTCCTTGTCGTGGTGGGAGGCTGCGTCGCCGACAAACTCCTGGAAGCTGATCTTGCCGTCGTGATCTGCATCCTTGTCCTGCATTGTGTGCTCCAGCAGTATCGGCAACATTTGTGGATGTTCCTCGGGATTTTGGAAGAAAACGAACTCCTCCAGCGTCAGAACTCCATCCTTGTTCGCGTCGGCCGCATTGAACATCTCCTTGTCCTGCTTGATCATATTCTGCTCATCCTCGTAGCTTTCATAGTCGATGGTCTCCTTCTTAAAGTCCTCATCCTCCATGGCGTAGGTGTCCTGGAGATACTCTTTCCACGTTATTCGCTCGTCCGCGTCCTGATCTATTTCTTCGAATCTATCAGCGGCTTCTTCCTCGGATAGTTTTCTGAAAATTGTATTATTTATTTTAGTAAAAGCATTAAATAGCTGTGTTTTCAGTTTAGGCAAGCACAAAGCATTAGGTTGCCGAGGTGATTATTGGCTTGGCTAACATTGATGCAGTATTAATCAACAGACAACACTCACTTAAAGGACCTTAATATCCAGGCTTTCAACTCATGCCGGTCAATAAATTCGTCCTTATTCAGATCCATCATTTTGAGTAATATCAACAGGCGTCGCTTCGATTCCTCTGGCGTAAGTGAGTCGAATTCTTGAGCCTCTTTCGTGTTGCCTAATGTGGTTAAAAGGTAATAATATCACATATGTTAGATGTTAAATGGAACATAAGTCAGCAGCAATGCCATTGACGTGTTGCTTTCAGAACACAATTTTAATGGTGGGTAAAACTATATAAAGCTATACACTTAAAAATTAAATCTTACAGCATATTCCAATTATAATTTCAATTATAATTTAAAAGATAAGAGCCAGCATATGATCTGAAATCCATTAGGAAATCTATTTTGCGACCTTCAAAAACTATTTTCAAATCTTGATGTTTGAATGATTCTTTGCATGTGCAGACCCATAAAAGTAAACCACAGCCAAGTAAACAAACATATCGCCAAAGCATACACCGAAAAAAAAATTATAGGTCCTATTAATTAAAATAAACCCAAAAAAATTATGGTCCAACTCAGTATCTATTGAGTTTTTATGTATAATAATACCCGTCTGCTCAAAAAACTACACTGTAGCTGTGAATATGATCTGCTTTCTGTGTAACTTGCGCTGACTCACCGATGATGGCCTCGTGATCGAACTCCACGTTGTGCTCCCCATCCTCGCCGTGGTGGTGGGCATCCCGAGGGGCGTAGATGCCATCCTTGACCCGCTCCTTGCTGAGATGCTTCTCGTGCTTGTGGCTGTTGGCCACCGCCCCATGGGCGGGCATGGGACCCACGGCGGCCAGCATGGCGATGGCACAAAGGGTCAGCGGGAGGAGCGGCAGATTCCTAGGCATTTTAATTGATTATGCCAAGCGGCGTGTTCTTTGGTATTTGTATTCTCTTTTTTTTTGGCAGCTTCCCGAGTTCTCGAGTGGTTGTTGGTGAGGGACCGGCGGAGTAGGGAAACCGGATGGACGCACACGTAATGCCCAGCTGAGCAATGAACTCTGTTCACCTCTCGCCTGCTTCTGAAATATTCAAATATCAGTACAAAATCGACAACAACAAAAAAACTATTTTTTGAATTTAAATAATCACCAACAGCTGTTGTCTTCGCTTGCCACGCCAATATTTCGCTGAACACAACTTTTTACCTAACCGCACTGCCGTTCAGTCCCACGTGCAAATTATACGCATTAAATTTAATTTAATAATCTATACTTTTTATACATTTTCACATAAAAATTCATTTATTTATTTCCGCACACCAAAGAAACGAAAAAGTAAACAGTGTGACCGCCTGCAAGAAATATATGTTTACCTATTGATTTTTAGGTATGGCACATACGCAGCCCTGTTTTTTTCACACCCTACCAACACTGCCCACCTTGCTGTTAACTTTACAGTAGTGTTTGCTACGCGCCAGCCCTGGCTTACATTACGAGGAATTAAAGAAAATAAATTGCACAAATTGACAAGAAAGACATTGCGAATTGTTAAACTAAAGCCTTGTTAAATTAGCAGGTGAGATATTAAATACGCAAATATCAACAAAGTGCTGTGCAGGTTAAAAGCAACCGGAAGAAAAAGTGAAAACATCTTGAAAAGTGAACGAACGCAGATAATTAAATTCAAATGACATCATTTTGCGACAGCTGTGTGGCATAAAAATCATTTGGAGCCGCTCGTTTATTTATTTCGAAATTTGATCATAATTCTCGTTCATTTTGTGTGCCCCAAACACGCAAAGGACACTTGAGCCCACTGGGTGTGTACGTGTGCTTTTCCAGGACCCCATTTGCTTATGTGTGCCTGCGCCTCTATCGGCATGTGTGTGTGTGTAAGCGCGCGCGTATGTATGTGCATTTGTGTAGGAGTTGTTGACCGGCTCGGTTGGACTTTTATTTTCATTTTATTATTATTTTCGTTGGGCGCCGAGCGACAGAAATACTTACTCATTAGTCGACCGGTCAGGTCAGTAATTATAGTCCCTGACTAAAGCTTCACATGCAACTGGTCGCGGGGTGCCATCCGCAGCGAGTGCGAGCGAGAGGGCGCATCGCACAGTGGTGTCGTCAGCCGAACTCCAAGGGGGATTGCCTAATGATACTCGACAATTTTCCACTTGCACTGACGTACTGTTTTAAAATCATTGATCGAATGGCCTTTTTTAATTTTAATAGTTATTTGTGAGTTTTACTAGCATTTCAGAGCATATCATTAATTTTATTAAAAATATTATATATAAATGTCCGATTTCTAAAAGTTTTTACGAAAAAATGTCGAGTAAGCTTTAATATAAACTAATAGGTTGTGTGGAAAAACAGCCGAACGATATCCCTTTATATGTCACGCCTTCGCTGCTGGCTGGGTCATATCGTATCAGGCGAGTGATTATCCTGGCCAGAATGCGTCACTTTGTCATTTGGGTATCTGCCACCTTACACCGCAGGCTAATCCAATAAAAAAAGCTGCTAACCATTTCAGAGAGCCGCGCTGAGCGACGCCCAAAAGCGAAATAAAATTACAAAACCAAACCAAACAAAATAGCCACAACAGCTAGAGCTAGCGCTGGGAAAACCTCTTGGTCGACAGCGTGGAGCCCAATTTCGGTTTCAGTCGAGAGTCAGCCTTCAGCAGCGCCACAGCGAGCTCTTGCTGCCCCCCAGTTTTGTTTCGGCGTCCATATCTCATTTGGTTTTCACTACTTACGTTTCACGTTGTCACGCCCGCCCTAATTAATCCGCAGATATATCCAACAGTAATCGGGCCAAATGCCGTACATAATCATACGGGGGAACCTAGCCTCCTACAGCCACAAATATCCATGGAGGGTGCTCGTCTCTGGGTTGAAAGGTAAAGCGTGAACCGCGTAGATACAGTATCTCGTTTTAGTTTCGTTTCGCTTTTATTTGTCGTCTCTTTACCATTGCGACACACAATTCATTTCGAGAGCTTGGCAAACAGATACGAACACACAGATATACTTTATTATACCTCCACGCATACGATAGCGCACATCACGATAGATTTCTGAACGCCAGTTTCGGTTTCTCCACCTTGCACCACGAAAAAACACTTATTGAATGGTTAGACAGTGCCTGCAAATTATCCAGACACTAGCTGTTGATTTCTAAATTATATTAATTTTAAAGTATTGTTTCAATATCTTGCATGTCTTTTGCTCAACTTAGAATATTCTTTTATATGGTTCGAAACTTACTTGACCTGACCCAGTGCATGTTCATTTAAAGCCATAATTGTCAAATACAATACATTTATTATATTTATTCAAACTTTATCTCTTTGTATTCAAAAATCACAAAAACTTTAATTTCAACAGCTCTTACAACCACTGATATAAGCCTTAGTGTAAAGACAACTTTACAATCCAATCTTATAGAGTGGGTACAAATCTCACAGTAAAGCTCACTGAAACAATAATTTAAAATAATTCACTGCAAGCTATTTTTAGTTGTTGGTTATCCAATGACCATCGAGGTAAAATATTAGCACTGTGCCGCAGTTATTTTCTCATAAAATCAACAGCTGCCCTTTAATTGCGCTCCATTTGCCCCTGGAAATCCGACTGCCCGCACCATACCGCTTTTTTCGACCGTCACTGTGCGAAGTTTGGTGCCCGCAGACGAGGTCTTCAGTTCGTCAGTTTGGGTTTGTTTTTCGCTGCGTGCAGTTCGCCTGGCAGAGCGGGCCATAAATATACAAATATTTATATATACACCCGTACGTAGAGCACATTTATCCACTCGATTCCGGTGCATATTTCTGGAAGTAGTATCTGTGCGGCACAGAAGTCAATGCACTGGGCTTGTTATCCAGGGACAAAGAACACACGAGATACTCCCATTTTACGTTTATTATGAAACAGCAGTAAATATTTTTTGCATTTCGCTTAATTAACACACTCACATGGAAAGACAAAGCTCTGGGCTGACGTCACCTTCTGACACAGCCGCGTTTATCTTTTGTTGGCCCTGTTTACACATTAGCGAAAAGGAAAGCGATTTTCCAAGAAATAGCACCCGTGATAACCATTGGCCATTCTTCCAGCTGACGACATCGAGCAGTTGAACAAGTTCTCCTGCGGCGGCTACAGCGACGAGTCCACCATCGTCTACCTAGTACATCCTTGTCGGATTCTATCGGCGCTAGAAGTGAGTACATCTATTCAGATTTCTACTTGACATATATCTTATTTAAAAGCTTATAAACACCAAATTGCCTTAGATTAAAGTCTGCTATCTAATGAGACAGCAGTTATTTTATCAGCTTTAGCAGTGCCCAACAAACACTGATAAATTCATTTAGTAACACCTTCTACAGGTTTGCCTTCTAGGCAATCAGCCTATGTTTCCCATCGCAACGTTCAGTTATCCAATGACTCATCGATTTCTACATTTCCTTTCAGATCCTGGGATTTCGCGTGGTGGCCAGCTCATCGACTGCAGTGAAGCAGGACTACAACGAGTATATGTGGACGATGCGCAAGGAGTTCGACGAACCAGAACCCTTGGAAGCCGAGTCCGTAGTGCGAGAGAATCTATCGAATATTGGCCGGGAGGCAGCCAGTTTAGGCAACTATCACAAGGTGGATTCACCTGAATAGGGGGATACAATCCAAAACAAAAAAACAGCAATCAACCAAGAACTCAACTCTAGTTGTATAATTTAGTGTGTGTGAATTGTGTGCGTGTTTCGGTGTGAAAAAACTATAGTAACCTAGGGAATTCTGTTCCAAAACATACTCTGAGCGAAAAAGGCGACCAAGCGAGTCCCCGAAGACGAACGAACTATGAGTGAGGGCGCAGCCGGGCTGAAGGAACCTCAGAATCTCAACTGCGAAGTAGCTTCGACGGTCGTGTCCGCGGGATCGGCTGTATCTCTGAACACCGCCACCGCCAACGTACCGGCCAATGTGGTGACCATTCCGGTGCCCATTCTGCAATCGGAGGGCAACTTCGCCTACGTGACCGTCAAGGGATCACTGCACGACTATACCTGCACCATTTTTGGTTTGAATCAGGCGGAAGTTCAAGCCCTGTCCAAGCGCTTCGAGAGCGGAGTTAAGGCGTGCGTCAATGGTATTATGGTGGCCGTGCCGCCCATGGTTATGCTGAACACTCTGGCCCAGCTAAGCTACAAGGTTGTCTGCAGTTGCGGCGAAGCCGAGATTTGTTGGACCATGCAGCGTGAGGTCTAATTCGTTGGATGAGATCACACTGTCATATCGTCAAACATCAGGCACCTGGAAACGAAAGCAAAAGGAAAGGAAAGGAATTCGTCATTGTAGAGAAAATCTCAAACTAATCAGCAGGCTAAAATGGATCCACATAGTGCGGACAACTGCAAGTGCCACAAGCAGACGCAGCCGGCACAGCAGACGTTAAGTGACATGGACTTCGATCGAGGCATCTGGAATGCAGGTAAGAAATTCATTCTCCATTAATTGTTTCGTATTGTTTAACCAACCACTTCCCTTTTGCATAGCTATCTATAACGAAGTGGAGCGTGTAAGGGAGTTTATCAAGAAGGGTCAGTCGATGGCTCGGGACGACTGCGACTACACCGCTCTGCACTATGCGGCCCGCAATGGGAACGAGCCCATCTGCAAGCTGCTTCTCGACGAGGGCAAGGCAGACGTGAATGCTGTGACCAAGGCTGGAGCTACCGCGCTGCATCGTGCAGCCATGATGGGTAACAACCATGGCAAATCCCTGTTACATTCATACTAAGAGCTTAATCCTGGCAGGCCACTTGGAAATTGTGAAGGTACTGGTCGAGCACAAGGCTGATCTCCTTCTGCAGGACGAGTGCGGGCAGACTGCATTGCATCGGGCAGCGATGCGGGGCCACCTGGAGGTGTGTCGCTTTCTGCTGGCAAAGGAGCCGACTCTTAAACTGGTTAAGGATAAAAAGGACAAAATTGCATTTGAGTACATCATGGAGAACGCCAATGATGACTTTAAGCTGCTGCTGAAGCCCTAAAAGGGCTTGTCATTTCCCAATCGTTCAACATATTTGTATTCTTTATGGTTTAAATATCTTTGTTTATTGAGTCTGTTAACACGTTTTCTATAAAATTGCACGCGATATCGTTGTAAAATCCTACTTAAAAATTGCATACGTCCTTTGTTTGCATTATGTGCGAGATCGATCGTATATGGGAAAGTAATCTTAACGTTTGCGTAGTCAAATAACTTAGTGGATACATTGTTTAAATCATCTATATAGACTATATACATGCCTAGTAAACATAAAATGTGCAAGTAATTTAGACAAAGAACAAAATCTTGGTGCCCAACAGAATGTGTACACAGAAGTCGATTTGAAAAATTCGAGATTTGCGTGGATATTCTGTTCTAAATTTGTAATACATCGTAAGAAAATTAATATCACATTGGAGTCGTGTATCAAAGTTGTTAATCAATCTGGTGTTGAAAAATTAAGGAAAACCTTACACAACCTTCCTACACACTCGTCGCCAATTTACAAAAACTATACGCTACTTATCATATAGCAAACATATAAAACCTATATAATCTGAATAAATTCCTAAAGCGCAATCAATCCCAAGACTCTGTGCATCTTATAACAGGTATCTCGACCGGCTCCATACCCCTTACCGCCGGAAGTTCGGCAAAGTCGCTGAGGTAGCGTTTTAAAGTAACGGGTATGGCGAACTCATCCACGATCCTTCCCAGCGACGACCTCTCCTGAGTGGGGCGATACTTTTCCTGCACCTCCAGCCGCGTTCGCAGGGATCTCAGGAGACACCGACGAATTTCCAGGCGAGCGAGGGACTGCAAGGAGCGTGGCTGGGTGCCAAACAAACGCATTTCCCGCTCGAACTCCAGCCGGGCTGGTGGCCAGTCCTTGGGCAGGGGTCGGTGCTTGTGAGGAAACTGGAAGCCAGCGTTGCCTACGGACAATTAGACATTGAAATTGCATGCTACTTCATAAAAACGAATATCAATGTAAGCTTCTTAGCTCAAACTTACATAGCAACCTTGCAAAGGCCAATCTTGTTGGCGTGCAATTGAATCTGAGCTCATTTACCACATGCTCCCGGCAAATCTGCGCCAGATTGCAGCCTTCGTGGATAAGAAATTCAGCCACCTCCAGGCGATGCAGGTTGATGGCCCTGGACAACGGAGTTTGACAGTAGATCAAGCCACAAACGATTGTCGGAGCACAGGAACCATAGAAATCCTTACGAGCGCTGGGTAATTTGGCAAGCAATACGCGCAGGATGTGGCTAAACTCCTTAACCCAAACATTCTGCTGCACGGCAAACAAAACCAAGCCCTCATCATGCACATCCGAGTAGAGTCCGAGCTTTCGATGTGCCTCAGCCACGCTCAGCAGATACTCCAGCATTTCGTGACGCCCCAGATGGATGGCCAGCATGATGGGGGTGTGGTTATCAGGATCCCGTACGGATAAACTTTCGCCGTACTGTAGAAGAAGCTCCACCAGTTCCCTGTCGTTGGACTCCACGGCAAGATGCAGTAGGTGCTGGGAGGCCAGGCGACGTGCACCGCGCTCCAAGAGCAACTTGGCCATCTGGCCGTGACGACCCCTTACCGCGTACTGCAAGGCCGTGTGGCTCTGCTTATCCTGGAGATTGATGCGAGCACCTCGCTTCACCAGCTCTTGAGCAACATCCAACATGCTGCAGGCGATGGCCGTCATCAAAGGCGTCTCGCCATCGTCATCCGTGTCATTGATGTTGATGTTCGTTTGAAGCAGCAGCCGAGCCGATTCCGCGGACTTGCTCTCGATGGCCACATGAAGAGCGGTCTTGCCATCACTCAGGGTTTTGGCATTCACCAAGGCTCCGTGCTTGATCAGTAACTTGGTGACACCAGCGAAACCGGCACCCACATGGAGCGGAGCGTATCCCTCGCTGTTGACGACATTGATGGGCGCATTGTGTTCCAACAGGATGCGCACACACTCCTCGTGGCCCCAACAGGCGGCATAGTGCAGGGGAGTGGCCAGCTCGGCATCGTAGAGGTGAGGATCCTGTTCCCGACATGAGACACAGCACTGTGATGATATGAACTCTCCGGTGGTTTCGAAGGTTTTTGCATAATACTGATACAATTGGCTGTCCTCTTCGCCGCTTCCAGCTCCATTCTCCGAACAATTCTCGAACTCATCCACCCACTCCAGTTTCTCCATACCGTCGGGCGTCCGCTCGATCTCAAAACTATCCGTGTTAGCTGGAATTCGAAAGCAATGTAAAACGATTTAAGAAAGCAGCTTTAAAAATCGTATTGCTAAGTCTATTCAAAACAAGTTTCTATAAATTTGAAAAGATTTTCGTTACATCCCACATAGAACTCGCACAGTCTACTGCCATTGGAACCGATGGAACCCGTCGTCGACCATTGTTATCAGCCAACCAACTGGCCAACCGATAACCGGTTTCTCGGCCTTCACTTACTTTTCTCTGTGCTTGCATTATGTTGGATAGCCCCGAAAAGAGGTTTGTTCAGTTCAATTTGGGTCACGAGTAAAAAATGCACAACAAATAATTGACATTTCAAACAAAAAACCGACTAAAATTGGTACATTCAACATATTAAAATTAAAGTTATAATAAATATTTTAATTCTTTCATGATGATAGCAAATTTTTAGAAATAGAATAACTAAATATATCATAAAATGCACAAGATACTTTGACTGCACTGCAATTAAAAATTTCCTCGATCCATTGATTATTTTTCATGACCTCAAGACATGTTTTTATCTTTAAATCATATAAATGCACATTATCTATCTCACCCACTGCGAATGCGTTTGATTTAATGTGCTGTATGTGTGCAGTTAATGCATTTTACTTTTCCGGAAGTGTTTTTGTTGTTTTTGTCGGGGCCAGCGGGAGACTCACACTGATGAAAGACATCTAGTTCCGGCTCCTCGCAGGATTGAAGCAGAAGCTCCAGCAGCTCGGCATCGCCCAGGATGGCCGCCGTGCCCACGGCAGTGCGTCCGCAAGTGGGAGATACATACGAGGCCTGGGCACCTTGCATGATGCAGCCCAGAGCCTGCTCAAAATCTCCACTCTGAACGGCGGTCAGCAGGCGTTCGTTGAGGTCGTAGGACAGCATTTTGCCATCGGGTTAGTAATGTGTTAAGGCTAATTGAAGCTGGTTAGCAAAACGCGAAGCAAAAAAGAACAAACCAAATTATAAGCAGCTGCTTGGTGTGTGAAAAGTGCGTCGATGTCGTCAGTGGCTGCAACACTCCCCCGGAAAGTCTCGCCGAGAATTGTAACCAAACAACCGCCGTGCGCAGGAGCAGTACCATTCACACAGCGGGTGGTGGTTTTTCTTTTTTTTTGGGGGCGGAAATGGAAAAGCTATTGAGGCACATGGAGAATACAATAAAGATGAAATCAGCTGGCAGTTCGCTTCCAAGCACACTCAATGCTCTTTTTGTTTATTTTCGACATCAGTGTGTGCAGTTGCTATGTTTGTAGGTATTGAATGTTGTTGCCTCAGCTTAAAAAACGCTTAACATTAGTTTGTCTATTTGGTTTCCTTGGCTTCCTTGGCATTTTGCAGCGATTCGGTGATGAAGAGCTTGGCCAGCGACTGCGAACAGAACTGGGCGATGTGCTGGGCGTGGGTATTAATCTGGCCTGAGGTTATGGTGGCCGTCAGGCGATTGGGCGCCGTCATGGGACGGAACTGTTTGATCACTTCCTCTTCTGGCACTGTGGGTTCTCCCTTCGAAGTGCGAACGGCGTTTTCGGCGGCCAGCTTAGCCAACGCACGGTGCTTCTCCTAAAAAGCCAAAGCAAGAAAGACGATTAGGAGTTTTTAAATATTAAATAAATCTGGTATGTCACTTCGCATATCAATGAGTTAGCTACGTACCGTATCCTGCTTGAAGACCACCTGCTGGTACTTGTTATAGCGCACTGCCTCCTGGTACAACTCGTCGACGCGCTCGATCAGGCTGCGCATTTGGTTCTCCAATACGGTGGCGGTGCCCAGGTCCAGGAAATTGTGTCCCTTGTCCTCGGGCAGCAACTCGTTCAACTCGCTCATCATAATGTTGGTCAGCGGCGAGTTCTTGATCACAATGGGGATCTCGGCGAAGAGGCTCTCGTAGCCCACCTTAAGGGTGCGGAATGCCTCTGGAGTGAAGTCGCCATCCTTGTACATCTGGATGGCCTGCGGCGTGAGGCGGTAGGCCTTCAGGCAGAGGAATCCCCGGGATGACTTCTGCGTATCGTAGACGACAACGACAGACTCCTCAATGCTGGTCTGGTAGTGGTACTGCGATTCCAGCAGCGCCAGTGACAGGCTGTTGCCCACGTCGGAGCTCTGGTACCAGCCCACATGGAGATGATCCACATTGACGCGACGCAGGCGTCGCATCACGGTCAGCTGGTACAGCTCCTCGTCCATGGTCTCATCTCCGCTTTTGGGGAACGGGAAGCAGTTGGTGATCTCCAGGCACTTGTCCACCACCAGACCGAGCAGGGCGCCCTGGGCAAGATCCATGTTGCTCGACTCTTCATGGCAGTGCTTCACCATTTTCATCACGGCCTGCACAGAAGAAAAGTATTAATTAATTGCCAAAATCACTTAGCGACAGATAACTATTTGAACAGGGGCGTGGCAAGCAGATAAATTTCTAAATAATAGTTTCTTTGCTGTCAACATTAAAAAACATGAACAGAGATTTAATATTGAATGAAATGCTATGGTAATAAACTGATCCCTTTTTTATGAAAACTCTACGCCCATGTCCTCGCAAACACCCATACAAACACACACAAGGCAGGCAAATTTTTTGAGCCAGCGCGTGGCATCAACCTTTTCAACTTTCGCACCGGTTGCCACGGCCCAGTCTCGGCCAGATCTTTTGGCCAGAACCACCACTCACCAATCCGTCGCATTGTACGTAGTTAATGGTGTTATCCGAATCCTCGGTGCGGGCAGCATGACGATTTGCGCGATTTGCCATGTTGACGAATTGTAAGCGAAAAGACCCACGACGTGAACTCGGCTGCAGTGGTAAAAGGGCGTTTCACAACACCGCCGGGTGTGTTGACGTGTTGAAAAGCGTGCACTGATTTGAAATCAGCTGTTCGGCCGAGCGAAACAAAAAAAAGGTCCCAAAATATAGTTTTGTTTATCAGCAAAGAAGGCAACAGAAAGAAAATCACAATTGTACTTCCTAGAAAATCGAGAACGGCCCACTTGTCACGAACGGGCGAAACGGTTCTGATAACTGCGGTTGCCGCAGTTGGTAGAGTGGTTGAATTTGAGTTCTCTTCTCATTAGCAACGCAACGCTGGCAATTCGAAGACCGCAGAAATGTCAACTAATTGGCGTGAATTGTTCCCCACCAAGCTCACATTTGTGATCTTCCTGCTGTACATGTCCCTATTTATAGGGCAGGGTATGTAACTGCATTTTTTAAGAATTCCACGTAAGCGAAAGCCGCACCCTAATGTCTGTCTATTTTGCAGGCATCTTTGTCACAGCATCTCAGGAATCGAATAACTCCTATGGCTACAACACCGTCACGGTGGTGCTGCTCACAGAGGTCTTTAAATTGATAGTCTCCACCTGCTTGTACTGCCGAGAGTGAGTAGGAGTTGAGGCACTCCTTAGTTTCACTATTAACCCGCGATTTCATTCACAGCAATAACCTAAGCTCCCTGGTGCGGGATGTTCACAAGGATCGCAATGTCCTGGCCTTGTACATGGTGCCCGCCTTTCTCTACTGCCTGTACAACAATTTAGCTTTTGTCAACTTGGCCACATTTGACCCCACCACGTATTATCTGCTACTACAGCTGCGTGTCGTCGTCACGGGCATACTTTTCCAAATTATATTCAAGAAGTACCTGTCGCAAAGGCAGTGGATCTCACTCATACTGCTGACACTGGGCTGTATGATGAAGCAGGTGAATTTCGGCAGCATCTACAGTGATGCCAATGATGACAGCGAGTCCGCAGCCATACAGCAGCGCCAGTCACTTAATAGAACTACTGCCGCAGAGACGCACGCACACGGCAAAAACATGTCCGGCTTTGACTTCAGCCTGAGTGCCGTCTTCATTCTGGCCCAGACTATTTGCTCTTGTCTTGCTGGCGTTTACAACGAGTATTTGCTAAAGGATAAGGGCGCCGACGTAAATATCTTTGTACAGAATGTCTTCATGTACCTGGACTCCATTGTCTGCAATGCAGTCATACTCTTGCTGCGCGGCGAACTGCTCGATGCATTTAGTCCACAGAATCTGGGTAGTATTATGCGCTTCAGCGTGCTAATCATCATTGTTAACAATGCGGCCATTGGCATTGTCACGAGTTTCTTCCTCAAGTACATGAACTCCATTCTAAAGACCTTCGCGAGCGCTCTGGAGCTGCTCTTTACGGCGGTGCTATGCTACTTCCTCTTCTCCATACCCATTTACATGAACACCGCGCTGGCCATAGCGGTTGTATCCTACGCCATCTATCTCTACACCCAAAGTCCGGTCGTTAACCTGGGCAAGGTGCGTCCGCTGTCCAGCTTGAGTGATGCTACCACCAAATCAACGGACAAACGAAAGCTGCTCGACGAGGAGGCGGCAGAATCGGACCTCGATATGGTTTAGTGCTGTAGCTAGTCCTAGACGTTATCTTAGACTGTAAATATTGTTGTGGAAAAGTGCCTGTAAATGTTTTAAACGCAAGACGAAAGTATTTGACCCCAGGCTTTGTGCAACAGTTGCAGAAACAGGCTTGTAAATACCAAAACTTTTGCTTTTCTAGTTTTAGATTCACAACGCAATTTGTGTATTTTAATCATAACATAAATGCAATCAAACGAATACTGTGTGTAAACATTTCTCCATGTGCTTCTTCAAGAAGCTTTTTATGGTTCATATAGCATGTAGTAGTATATGTAGAAGTGTCTGAATGTGTTAGCCTAAAGTGGTGTATCCACATCATGTCCATTTTCCTGAACGGGCGGAATGCGAGTACTGAGCGCTATCTGCACGGCCTGGTCGTCGATGCTGCGAAGATAGTAGTCACACTCCTTCAGGTGCTCCTCCATGTCGAGAACGCGGTGCGCGGCGTTGTACTTGCAGGTCTGTAGCGGCGGTCCACGGTAGTTCTTCGCGCACTTGACGATGTGCTTGGGCATCCGGAAGATCATTATGCGGTGGGTTTTGTCGTACGGGCAAGTACCTAACTCGCAATAGGACATTTTTCAAGAGTCAAGAGCAGTTGGTCAAAACACAAGTTTCTAAATATGAAAGTCCCGCTATGTTTTAAACACGCCGGAAGTTTTAGTTATCGGTTATGTTATCGGAAGTATCGATATTCCAAAATCGAATATATTACCAATATCTTAATTATGGCTGAAGAAATATGTAGTTCTCTATTTTGACCAGAAATTCCTAATTTTATAGGATGTTTTCGTCAAAACACATCCAAAAAGTGTCACACAGATAAATGAATCACTGTATTTTACAACTAATGATCTAGAATAATTATCCCAATTACATTTTTATGATTAAAAAAAAAATCCTCGTTTTTCATATTTGGTAATGGGAATACAGCGAGATACTGCATTCCATTTTCGCACAAATATTTTAATTGTTGGTGGTAAAAAACGTAATTTTTTGTGCCGCACGAATTAAACAACTAAAAGGTTTTTTTTCTTTATTTAGCAACAGATAAAATCATATTAAAAACTTTAAGTATACATTTTAAATTTTGAAATAACATTTTCCGAAACAGCTGTCAAAAAAATTGACCATATAAGGAATACTTACGATGAACATACGGTCACACTACGCAGACGCGCGTTAACCACCCCGTCCCTCCCTTTCACCATTCATTCAGCGTGAAAATTTCGTAGAGTTCGGTCAATTGTCAATTGTCAAGTCTGCTCAAAGCCAATTAATAATACCAAGTGAAAGATGGCCCGTACCAAGCAAACAGCCCGTAAATCGACCGGTGGCAAGGCGCCCCGCAAGCAGCTGGCCACCAAGGCTGCCCGTAAATCGGCTCCTTCCACCGGCGGAGTGAAGAAGCCACATCGCTACCGTCCTGGAACGGTGGCTCTGCGTGAGATCCGTCGCTACCAGAAGTCCACGGAGCTCCTCATCCGCAAGCTGCCCTTCCAGCGCCTGGTGCGTGAGATAGCCCAGGATTTCAAGACCGATCTGCGCTTCCAGTCGGCGGCCATTGGAGCCCTACAGGTAATGTGTACAGCACTCCCACCTCTGCGACTATTTCATACAGTCATCTAATACTGCGTCTCTCTATCAAATGCGCAATTTGCAGGAGGCCAGCGAGGCGTACCTGGTCGGTCTGTTCGAGGACACCAATCTGTGCGCCATTCACGCCAAGCGCGTCACCATTATGCCCAAGGACATCCAGCTGGCCAGACGCATCCGTGGCGAGCGGGCCTAAGTGCCCATGTCCGCCATCTTGGATTGGAAAAGCAGTGGCGGCAAAAATACCAACCCACAGCTGTCGTTTGGAGTGGGAGATCCGGAGGTGGGGAAGCGGAAACCCGAACCCCCGACCGCAGCTGCCGCCGCTTAGTACTAAGGTCTATCTATACTTACAGATAAGTAATCAATAAACAATGTTCTAATAAAATCGAATTCATTTTTTTTTTGTAAAAGTTTAACCATAAAGAAACGATTTATTTGTGAAGGCATTCGTATGTTTTTAAAGACTGTACATTTGTCAGGTCTCTTAAATTCGAATTCTGTTCCAAGATTCAAGACTGCAAAAGTTTAGCATTATTTCGAATGATTTTATACAAAATACATACATTATTTTATATCACTGTATTAAATGAGGTAGTCAATGTGGTAAATGTATTAATTTGATATCCCAGTTGGTACTTGGTCGAAAAATATGTTAATGCTACTTAAGCTCCTGTTCTGGAGCCAAGCAGTTGAAGGCCCGGACAAAATCAGGCAGCCTTGTAAGAGAATTTGTGGGTTGACCGCCCTCTACGAAATCGCTGGTAGAATACAGGGTTTCCCCAAAGGAACTCTGGCCAAACCTGAAGAAGAACAGTTCCGTCAGAGACATTGTGGTGAAGTTGGGCTGCCTCTGGCTGAACTTGGAATCCTCTGCGAAGTAGGCTTCGTGGACCAAATGGAGCACTACGAGGTACTGCTCGCGTTGACTATTCGCATTCTCTTGAGACAACAAGCTTAGACAATTGTCGCCGGCGGTAATAATTTGGTTATCATCGAACATTTCGAGCATGTTGACTTTATACCGTTTGCAATTATACAAATCGAGACTTTTTAACATCTCCATAGTAAAACGGATGCCCAACGGAGTCATCTTAAAGATGTCATGACTATCGGTATCAAAGGCATCATCCGCCAGGAGGTCGTAGGCCACATAAATCGTGTTTTCATTTTCCTCGATCGCAGTTTCGAAGAAATGATTCGAAATAGGTAAAGAATGGATCACGTATCGTCTGTCTCTGAAGTTCGGTTGATCCAGTATGCTCAGCTCGGCACGGGTTCGGTGCTCCAAGACCTTCAGGTGCGCAGTCGCAGACGTCTCGTCGTCCGCAAACTCAAGATCCTTGTAGAATCGGGTCACGAATCGTCGATGACCTGCTTTTCCCGGCAGATTGCCGATGCTCAGGCTCAAGCCATTCAACTTCTGCTGCAGGGTGGAAATCATAGCGGCTGGCAGCTCAAGGGAGTTCCTTTCGAGCCTGATATGTATCTGCTTGCGCATGGCATCAAATATTTTTCCGGCCTGGTTTTGATAGCTACGTAGCTTCCTGCGTCCCAGAATTCGCTCCTCGAACAGCAGATTGCTGGCGAATTCCATGGTATGGCGCATTGAAGTCACGCATGATCCTCCGTGTTTCATGAACGTGAACATTATATAGAAGTTAAATCGTGCCGCAAGATAAGTGGCCATCACCTGGCTAGGGACGGCAGTCATGAGCTCATAGAGCCCCATAATGTAGTACAGGTTCTCCACTTGCACCACAAAGTCTGGCGAAAAGGGGCGTCGGAAGACGATCTCAAGATACTTGGTTAGGTACACCCCATAATTTTCCAGCTCTCGTAGACTTATCCGGTGGCCTGGTGCAGTGTTTCCATTGTATTCCCAATTCATATCTAATTTGTACATTTCTTGCAGGGCTTTATCCAAAGGCGCTATCTCCTTTGCCAAGTTGGGAGGCAAGCCAATATTTTGCAGCGACTCCATGAACCGCAATAGAAAATCGAACTTTTTTTCAAAGACCACAATGGCTTGGCCGCTGTCCGCATCCTGCCGTACACTCATTCCGAACATAACGTCATTTATGCCATACCGTCGCAGTCGAGCCAGTGCCTCTATCCACTTGAACTTCTCCTTGGGCCACTCGCTTCCGGCGGGTGTCAGAAAGGGCCATGTGATATCTTCTCCTAGTGGCACCAGCTCAAAAAACTTTAGCTGACTGGGTCTTTTCTTAGTCAAACAAATTTTGTAGAAGCGTTGTAATTTTTCCTCGAAGCTGTCCTTTTCGAATACTTCGTTTTCTATTCCATCGAACAGCAATTGGAACTGGTCGCTCACAGTCGCAAACTCCTTCCACTGAAGATTCTTTTGGGAGGAGTTGTAGAAATTATGACATGGTTCGGCTTTTTCATCCATGTCGTCAAGCATTCGCTTCATGATCTCGAGATTAGGATTTGTAGAACACACTGCACTGCCGAGCAGGAGGAGCCAGCTCAGGCTAAGGAATGGTCTGGATCCCATCATCTCAGTTAATCAACTGACGCATTTGGAAATAATCAGCTTCTTCTAAGAAGTCTGATGAAATTACACGAAATTTGAAATACTTTTTTGTTGTGGCGAATTGTGGTGTGACCCTAAGTCGTTTCATGTCATATGCTGAATTGTGCGTCAGTCGCACTTTTTTCGAAATTCACCAAACATTTAATCAAAATTAAAAAGCACTTTTGAAAATTTGAGTAGTACATACATACATATGTACATATACAGAAGTTCAGTCTTATACAAAACTCCAGATATTGCAATGAAGTCCAGCTAACGCAGTATATGTACATTAAATATATCTATGTATGTACAGATGCTCCCAAAATGTAACGAAATAAAAAACTAAATTCACTTTGTGTAAAACTTTGCTCTGAACAAAAGCCGTTTCTTTTTTTATCAGTTAATACGATTAGCTTAGCGGTTTGTGGGTATGAAGGGGAATTGATTGGAGGAGAGCAAATGCAAAAATTCACTTAAAGACTATGGTGTCCAGCATGGCGCCCAGGCACTGCACAATATTATTCTGCATAACCTTGTCCACCTTCTCCTCTAAATGCCGCTTGGGGTCCTGTTTGCCCACATTCTTGATCGCCAGCTGCTCAGGCGTCATTTTCTCCTCGTCCTCCAGTGACTGCAAGAAATAAAGAGAATTCAATAAATTTGACACAGCTTTTCGTAACTATAGAAAACTAATTGTCTTGTCCTTTGGAACAGATGAATACTGAATACATCTACGCATTAAACTGGCTAAATGACTAACAAGATGAATCACCATTCAGATTCAGTAACCCACCTTGTTGTAGTTCTTGGCGAGATCCAGCATCTCAGCCACTGTGTCCTCATTGATAGAACAGTGCTCATTGTAGTCGGACAACGTAAGCCCGTCCTTCCACGACTTTTTGTGCAGATTGAGAAGCATCTTCTGCTCCAGTTCGTTCTTGCGGTAGTTTATGCTAATCGAGTAGTAGTGGCGATTGAGCCCATGGATCAGGGCCTGCACGGAGGGCTTTTGCAGATGACCCAGATTAGAGGTTGTCTGCCGGGGCTCCTGTCCCAGCACAAGCATGTTGGGATTGATCAGGCGGAAGGCATCGATGACCACCTTGCCCTTGACGGACTGAATGGGGTCGACGACGACGGCAACGGCTCGTTCCGACAGCGCTTCGAAGGATTGCTGCGTATTGATATCCACACCGGACAGCCAGCAGCCGAAACCAGGATGCGAGTGATACCAGCCAACGACCATTTCGGGCCGACCCGTCTGCTTCAGCATGTCCAACATCTTGGCCTGGAAGACGGGATCCACAGCCTCCACGGAGACACCGGTGCCCGTTTGGGGCATGGCGAACACATCGATGACCTGCACCGTGTAGTCGTCCACGAACTCGCCCAGCATCAGGCCCATCACCTCCATGGGCACGCCGGCTCGTCCGTGCTTGAGCATCTTAAGCAGGGCCAAGGACGAAATGTACACCTGCTCGGCGGTGTCCACGACGGGCGCATCTGTGGGCGGGGCAGCCTGTGGCATAGCGCCTCCAAGACGTAGCAGACGATCCATTCTATGCGGCTAACCGTGGGCAACGATACAGGATCAGAGTTAGAAACAATCGAAGAGCGCTGACTAATCCAAGTGCTCACCTCTGGGGTTTGTAGACACTCTGTGTTCGGGGCAAGAATCACCTATTTCCTACTGATTTACGTGTAATTTACGTTCCTCGCCGTAAGCAGCAACAAAAAACACAAAGCCGTCTCGTTTGATTTTGCAGAATTGCAAGTAATACTCGCAACAGGGTTGTATCGCTCCAGGCCTATCGAAAAGCTATCGGAGGGAGGAGATGAAAAATTGGCTAGTTTCTAGCTTGTTTTTAGCTTAACTGGAATATAGTCTTATTGATGTAATCAAAGAAAAATTGTAGTTGTTTTGTACACAATGTGTGAATATAAAAGTATAGTAAAGTATTATCAACAAAAAAACATGTTTTCAAAAAAAGTATTCTACTGAGGTTATTAAATAAATTATAAGTTTGCAAAACAATTAACTCAATAAAATTACTTTATTACGAATAAATTACTTTATTTTATTTAATATTTTAGAATATGTTAATTACTTAATTTGTTGATCGACTCTTGTAGCATATTTTTCAGGGAGCTTGTTGTCAGCACTGGTCAACACTGTCTTTATATCGATAAGTAAAACTATCGACAATGGAAATTGGCGCCAAATTATTTTGCAAACAAACATTCCAAAGCTTTCTGAAGTGTTAAATCCCAAAAACAAACTCAAAGGACGTGAAAGTACTGGAAAAAGTGCATTGTGTGTTTAATTTTGTACAACAATAGAATAAGTGCGCAGTGTGGTTACCAGTGAAGTGAGGAAAACTAAGACTTTCCGCAAGACCGAACACCGCAAAGTTTATAATGCACCATTCATCCGCCCGTCAAATGCCATGGGAAATGAGGTCTTCGCCGGCAAAACTGAAACGATTTGGGCAAGTACAATGCAGCCGCCTTTGTTTTTATTGTGCCAATTAATTGCACAAAAAACCTTTTGCCTTTGGATGCGGCGCCTTCTTTATGCCTTTCACCTCGCTCTCGGAGATGGGGACTCCGATTAAGAGATTCCCAGACCGCCAGACGCTCGCAAATTCGCTTAAAATGCCGTCAAAAGGTGGGACTACGCCGCACACCGGCTACAAAATCCAAAACTCAAAATCCATCCGATTGCAACACACGGACTACTCCATTTTCCGTCTCGCTTTGGTAATTGAACAATAGTTTTTCCATCTGCCAACAGACTTTTCCATTCGCCGCTCGGCTTTTCAGCTTCAGTTGCATTTTGTCGCTCGCCTCCAGCACGCGCACTCCACACAATTGTTGTTAAAGTTGAATAGTTTCATACTTTTCGCTTGGTTAAACGGTTTGCCGCTCGGTGTACTCAAGATTTCTGCAATTATTCGCATACAAATTGCCAGCAAATAGTGCACTTATTTGCAGCAAGCGTAGCCAAACTCAGGTATTTAAATACAAATTGTTAATATTTCTAGCTGAAAGGTGGCGAATTTCAGCTGAGGCCGACATATTTGTGTCGATTTTGTATTTCGCTGTTGACTTGCCCTCTTATCACCCAACGAAATACAGCCACAAAATTGTTAAAGTTGATAAGTGAGCGAAGGGAACATAGAGAGCTTTTTTTTACAAGGGGTATGTGTTCTATTGGTACACATAAAGTAAAAATTTGTCATTGTCATAACAATGTGTTTTTAATTCAAGTACATAATTCATTCTAGGTGATTAGTTCTATTTCAGATATAGAGTGATAGTATATGCATTGAGGAGCTGCAATTCGTTAAGTAATATTATTCTTATTGCCTTAAGGCTAGTGAACTGTGCAGGTATTTCGTTCTGTGTACTTTAATTACTTAAACAGCTGCTTGGCATTTACTTAGGCCGAAAGCAAATGAAACGTGCTCCATTTCGCCATTGATTAAATAGCTTCGCATCTGACTTGGGCATCTTAAGCGCTATCCATTGACCTTGTCAACGTTTAAATCAATCCCGTTCGAAGAAATGACGCGAATGCACTCAATCTGGTTACAAAAACGTGGCAAATAACACATAGCCGATATTGAAGGGGGGAAAAGTGGAGGAAAACACGTTTGTTCAGCTGTGAAATTGACCTTTTATGGCCTAACTCAACCCAAAACCCCCCAAAACTGAACATTTTGTTGGAGCAGCCTGAGTTTACAAGAAATGAGCGGAAATACTTTACAATGATAGTCGCTCTAATTGCTACCAAAAGTGGCAGCGGAATCCAAGAGGAAAAAGAGAAGATAATAAGGGTCAGATGAGTAAGACAATTATTTTGGATAGGGGAAATGTTTTGGGGCTCTTTCCATGAGACTCGAAAGCTGTACAAATGAAATATGAAAAATTAAAGTGAAAAATCTATGTTTAATGCTTGTAAATGTATTAACTTAGAGCATAATGTTAATGTTGTTGTATAACATTTATAAACTTCAATTCACTTTTCAAATAAGAATTCCAGTTTGCGTTTAACTGGTTTTTAAGAACTTGAATGCAAGATAATGCAAGAAAGCTTAAAAGATAACAATTAATTTCGCATTGATTTGCCAAATGACCCAGAAAATCTTATCAATGGGACCACTTTTGATGTCTCACTTAATTGCTGATAATGCCAGAAAATATTCAACTGAATTTCTTGTACCTCTGAAGGTGTCAAATAAATGTTTGCGTGTGTTTCAGCTTATTTAACCCAAAGACCTTTGAGATCGGGTTGACTTGTGTAACTAGAACGGCCAGATCCATTGAAACCGCCGCAGAAACCGCAAACGAAAAAGATCCCAACAAACAAATTTCGTAATTAGCTGCAGGAAAAAACTGAACAAGAAAACAAAAAATAAAAAAAAAAACACAAAAAAACTGAGAGTTGCATGTCTGGGAAAATGCTTTAATTTCACTTTTCATTTTGGATTTGCCCAGCAAATCAGTGCAACAATTGGCGAGCGGAAAGGAGTACGATCGTAATTATTAATTGCGGACTGAAGAAAGTTTTAATTACTCCGCGAGCGTTTAAGATAATGAAGACGTTTATCTGAGGCATTCAATTATTAAATTGCTTACATTTTGAAAGTGCAACCAATAATTAGAAATTGATTTAAGCTCAATTTGTATGCAGCTCATTTTCCTAATCATTATTTTGCATTTCACTTTCATGGGGGTAAATGGTTGATTAACTGTTTTTATTTGTACATTTTAAATGTTATTTTCATGAAAAAAAAACAAAGTTAGTGCTAACTTTAAAGTGATTAAAACTAGTTAATAATCTTGCAATTATTTGTCTCTGCAGAAATGATGACGTCGCTGCAGCTGGAGACGTCACTGCCGGCGATGGAGGAGCAAGTGCAGCGGGAGAAGGACAACGAGCGCGCCGAGGACTCCCACACGGCATCCACAACGCCCACTCGCATTCCACATCCCGCCGTGGCTCGTTTCCGGCGTTCCGCTTCCCTGCGCCTGCGCGGGAATCCCGCAGAGCTTGGTTTGCGGGCTGAGCACTGTCCAGCCGGCGGAGGCGGATTCAGTTCGCGCGCCAAGCTCACGGCGA